AATAATATAGTCTGTGGTGCAGTGATTTGGAAAGGCTTAGTCGATACTGGAGCAGATCTGTGTCTCATGCAAAAGCGCGTATATCGAATGTTAGGAATAAGAAAATTGGCTTGCCTTAGTAAATTTTTGAATGGTATAGGTGATGGTCAGATTTTGACATTTGGAAGCTTCGTAGTAGAAGAGTTTTAAAACATGTGTATGCTTAGTTTGGATCAGGATGTTGGGGCAGTAGATCTAAATCGCGACAAGAAGTGAGACGAATAGTAGATTCTTATCATCCGATAAAAAATCCAAGCTCCCGGATTAAGATGAAAATTTTGTTAATCGATGATTTGCCAGTGTATCAACATCCGAGACGAATGGTCGACTGTGATCAGGAGATCGTAGATAAACAAATAAAGGAGGGGCTAGCGGAGGAAATTATTAAGCCGAGTGTTTCAGAATATGCTTCTCCAATTGTGCTAGTTTCCAAGAAAAATGGTAAAAAAAACGTTTATGCTGTGATTACCGGAAACTGAATGAGAAAGTGATCCGTGATTATATTCCAATGCCGAATATGGAATGGGTGATACATACATAAGTTGCAAGAAGCGTCGGTATTTACTACCTTAGATCTGATTAATGGATTCCATGTTCCAGTTGAGCCAGGTTCACAGAAATACAATTCGTTTGCTACTCAGAAGGGGCAGTATGAATTGTTATATGTACCTTTTGGAATTTCGAATTCCTCAGCAGCTTTTACAAGATTTATAATGTCACTTATGAGCGAACTAATCAAGAATAATGAGGCCGTCGTTTACATGGATGACGTCAAGAAGGTATTGAGCTTTGCAGAGAAAAGCGGTTTACGTATAAACTGGTCGAAGTGTGAGTTGTTGCAAGAAAGAGTAGATCTTTTAGGATATATTATACAAAAGGGTACAATAAGTCCAAGTAAGGAGAAGACTCAAGCTGTATCGAATTTTCCAGTGCCACAAAATAGGAAGGCTATTCAGCGATTTTTAGGGCTCACTTCTTATTTTCGAAATTTTGTCGAAGGATATGCATTAATAGCAAAGCCGCTAACTGATCTATTGAGAAAGGATGTAGCGTTTACATTTAAAAAGTTAGAGCATGTCGCATTTGAGCAATTAAAAGCAGCGTTGTCAACTGGGCTAGTGTTGAAACTGTATAATCCGAAGTTTGAAACTGAGATTCATACAGATGCAAGCAAGTATGAATATAGGAGGTATTATTACAAAGAGACCCCGAAGATTGGTTGTTTCATCCTATTCAGAACATGAGCCGGAAGACTAGTGAAGCAGAAGAAAAGTATGACTTATAAATTAGGAGTTTAAGCCGTCATGTGAGGAAGTAGCGTGTGTATGTGCTAGGCATCAAGTTCAAAATTGTAACAGATTGCACATTCACAATGACCATGAAAAAGAAAGATGTTCCTTTGCGTGTAGCTAGGTGGGCAATGTACTTACAAGATTTTGATTATAACATTGAGCATCGTTCGGGAACAAAAATGCGCCACGTTGATGCGTTGAGTCGTGTATCATGTTACATGTTAAGTGATAGTTTATTGCATCGTTTAAAAGAAGCACAACTGAGAGATGAGTGGCCAAAGCATTGCGCACTTGCAAATCACTACTGGTGTACCTCGCGGAAATGGTCAGGAAGAGAGAATGCATAAGATAGTCGTACCAATGCTTTCCAAGTTAAGTCACGATTGCCCTGTAGGCTGGTACAAGCATTTTGGGAGGGTTCAACAAATAATTAATAACACAGCACCAAGAAGTACTAAAGTGTATCCTTTTAGAATTCTAACAGGCTTAGAAATGCGTTTGCCTGAAGATCTTGAGTTGAAGAAATTAATTGATGAAAGCTTGATCAACGAGTTAAATTTTGAGCGGTCTACAGTGCGGGAACGAGCCCGAGAAAATATACGAGAGTTACAGGAAGAAAACAAAAGAACTTACAATCTGAGGAGGAAGGCAGAAACTCAGTACGATAACAATGATTTGGTAGTTATAAGACGTACCCAATATGGCACCGGCTTAAAACTAAAAGGGAAATATTTAGGACCGTATAATATATTAGAAAAGAAAGATCATGGCAGATATGAGGTGGAAAAGGTGGGAATCGGAGAAGCACCACATAGAACGACAACAGTGGCGGAATATATGAAAAGGTGGGATTCCTTCGGGTCGAACTACTTGTCAGGGGGGCCGAATGTGGGATTCCTAAAAGTCGCAGCATCCCTGGTAATTCGGAGTCAACGCAAGCTTAGAGTTAGATGATCCGTTGCTAAGAAGCAGAGTCGTAAGAAAGTCGCCAAGTAGGTCAGTCGCACAGCGGACTTAGACAATGAAGTACTGAAGTCGTGAAAGTCAAATAGAGGTCACAAGAAGTGATAGAAATCGCCCGTAAAGATCGCGTTTTGCGTTCGATTACTTAATATATATATACAAGTGTAACTAAAACTAATCCATAATACTAAATGAAATAAAGTGTAGACATTCATCGCTAAATAAATATTCCTACATTTATGTATACATATATTACACATTGTTAATTCGAACACCCGTTTTCATATAGCACTCAAATACATACATACGTACATATACTGGTTGCAATTGGAACAAAAGCGAAAGCTCTAGTCGAGACTGCCCGACTACGAGATCGCCTGAGCCCTTCGAGCAACTGATATTTCAACAACTAAGAACCCTGAACCCTCCAAGCTGATATTCGAATCATTCTGCACTTCTTTTATACACACACATGCATCCAAACGTACGTATAATCACGCGCTCTGCTGACTGCGCTGTTAGCAGCGACTGCGCTGGGGCTGCGCTGCAGTTCTGAAGATCTGAAGTCTCCAGGCTTAAAAGTGTTCAAATTAGGCTGAAAAAAACAAAATCCATTTTTCGATTATTGTCGATAAAGTTTTCGGACGAGTTATCGAAAAAAAATATGATAAACTTGTACTGCGTATGGTACACACGAGTATGCATGCTAAATTTCAGCTCTCTAGCTCTTATAACTTCTGAGATCGACGCACTCATACGGACAGACGGACGGACAGACGGACTAAGTTAAATCGACTCAGCTCGTCACCCTGATCAAGAATATACATACTTTGTGGAGTCTGCCACGCCTCCTCCTGCCTGTTACATACATTTAACAAAACCATTATACCCTGATTTCCCATTTTCAATGGGTTCAGGGTATAAAAATTATATATGTATTTTGAAAATTCTTACTGATCTGATGAACATACCCTGATATCCCATTTTGAATGGGTTCGGGGTATAAAAATTATATATGTATTTTGAAAATTCTTACTAATCTGATGAACATATGCTGCACAGTTGGTAACGTACCAAAAACGTAACATTTTGATGCTTATTAGGGTTGTCGAATATTTTAAAAATATCGTATCGCTGATATTTTAAATTAAAAAAAAATATCAATATGATATTTGATATGCAAGTTTAGAAAATCGATATATATATATATACAAGAAATTTGTAATCCGTTCAAAATACTTCTTAACTGAAGTATTCGGTACGACTTCGCGAGGCGCTGACAACACATTTTATTACCGAAGCAAATCGCTCCGAAGGCACTGAGCAGACCCCACAAAGTATATATATTCTTGATCAGCACAACGAGCTGAGTCGATTTGGCCCTGTCTGTCCGTCCGTATGTATGAACGCGTCGATCTCAGAAAATATAAGAGCTAGAGACTTGAAATTTGTTTTCCTAAGTCCGTGCATGTCACGTGCATATCAAGTTTTTCCCTAAATATCGATAACTACTCCCGATATTTGATTATCGATTAAAAGCTTATCGAAAGCTAGTTATTTAAATATATCTCCTACACCTTTAGAGCTAGACCTTCTAAATTTTAAATACAATTTCGGTTTTTGTTCAAATTTACCCCCCACCCCTATATTCACCCCCTAGCCTTCACCTTTGTAAAAGGCATATTTGAAATACTAGAGACTTGTGCTTTGGCAAATACACGCATATCTATTTTATAATCATAATCTAAAAGTTTAATGAAGAAAGTACATCCACAAGAAAAGTTTTTAGTTCTCATATTAAGTTCTCATATTAAGCGCACACTGCAGCCCATGCGAGTTTATGCGTGCGTGCGTATGTCTGTGTGTGTGCATGTGCGAATAATTATTAAAATTTCAGTTGCTCGAAGGGTTCAGGGGATCTCGTAGTGGAGCAGTTTCGACTAGAGCTATGTTTAAGAGCTTGTTTAAAGTATATTTCTTTATTACCTATGCATCTTAATCAATAACTTAGCTTACTCGTAGGCCAAGAAAACCTTTGCTTACGCGTCGTAAAAAAAAGAAAAGTTTGCAAAGAGATCGGAAAGGATGTCTTGGCCTCAAAGGCAATGGAATACCATTATATTTAGCGATAAAGCTAAATTTGATGTTAGTATCGGCGATACGAGAAATCGTGTCATCCATTAGAATTCAGAAACATGCCATACATACTGCCTTAAAAGATCAAAGTTTCCGGCAAGCACTATGGTATGGGGATGTATGTCTGCCAAAGGATTAGGAAAACTGCATTTTTTCGAAGGGACGGTTAATAGTGAGAAGTACATTAATATTTAAAAAGATAGTTTACGGCTATCAATACCAGAACTGGAACTTTTCAGCATCGCGCGCAGAGCACAACTTTTTCTATCATCATTAAGAAAATAAAATTCTCTTTATGAAAAAAAATGGTATGTGTTATCTTTAGTAGTATTGACAATGTAATGTGTTGAACATTGCGTACTGCAAAAAAAAGCATGCTGTTCGAATTATTCCTACGTCGCAATCGCACACCGATCGTAAGATGCCACCACTATCCACGCAACACATAGACTAGATTCGCTCAAAAGAAATTTAGAGAGAGAAAAGAAAGTACATTTTCCTAAATTACATTCAACATTATTATTTCTGAAAGCACATATTCTACTTTTAGAACATATAATAGCTACTCACCTCCATCATCCATTGAGCTACAATTTTGCGCATAGCCGGGGTAATGTCCTTTTGAACAGTTTTAAAATATGTTTCAAGGATATATTGATCCTTTTCTTCAGTTTTTAAAGCATTTTTTAAGCAACGGTCAGTTTTAAAAATGGGATCAGAAACGACCATTTGGGTATTTTCATCAACAAAATGGTGATCGTTTGCAGTATCTGTTTTTTTAATTACTGCTGTACACACCCACTTGGTGTTGTCACATGAGCGATGTGGAGTAACTTTACACAGAACTTGACAAGTGGTTGACCTTCTCTGCTTTGTTGATTTGGTTGCATTTGTAGGAGTTGCAACTGAAGATAAAACATACATAAGATTACTCATACTGCAAGCGATAGGTACTATTTCCGAATGAGTCACTATGCTTTCAGTACACAGTAAATCCATGCTTTATCCACATAGATCAACTCATTTGATAAGTAAATCAGTTTGCTTATATAGTTTTTAAATAAGGCTTAACACGTTAAAAATTTGCATTTCTGTAAGCAAAAGAAATATGAAATGGTTATTTTTTATAACATACGATAAAAATCAAGATTGTCTACTAATTAAATATCTGGTTTATTATACCCTGAAATGTATGTAACAGGCAGAAGGAGGCGTGGTAGACCCCACAAAGTATATATATTCTTGATCAGGGCGACGAGTTGAGTCCGTCTGTCTTTCCGTATGTATGAGCGCGTCGATTTCGGAAGATATAAAAGCTAGAGACTTGAAATATTTTGCAAATGTCCGAATATATAGCGCGGATATCGAGTTTATCACCAAAAATCGATAACTCATCCCGTTATTTTTTATCGATAAAAACCCTATCGAAAATCAGTTATAAAATTATATCTCCTACATCTATAAAGCTAGAGTCACCAAATTTTTAATATATAGTAAGATGCATTTTATACAATTTCGATTTTTGTTAAAATTTACCCCCACCCCTATATACGCCACCTAACACACATATTCCTAAAACGCGCATTTCAAATACTAGTGACTTGTACTTTGGCAAGTTTCATTCATTGTTATAATCACGACCTGAAAGTTTCATGAAGATCGTATGTCCACAAAAAAAGTTATTAAACAATTATGTTCTCATGGTTCTCATGGCGCACACTGTAGCCCATGCGTGTTTATGAGTGGCTGCTTGTGTGTGTGTATGTGTGTGTGTGTGCGTGTGTGTATGTGTGCGTGTGAGTGTGTTTCTTGTGTAAGTAGAAAGACGCGAAAAATTATTGAAATAGCTATTGCTCGAAGGGTTCAGGGGATCTCGTAGTCGAGCAGTATCAACTAGAGCTTTCTTACTTGTTTTTACTCATTCACGAAAGTGAAATGAGTATATTGGTTTTGTGCAATGTCCGTCTTGCTGTCCGTCCGTCTGTCCGTCTGTCCATATGAACGCAATCTATTCCGCCGCTATTGAAGTTAGAGTCTTGAAATTTAGAACACATACTCGTGTATATCTCCGATTTATAAAGTGTTAAAATTTTCCCGATCCGCCCACTAGGGGCGTGCAAATCGGAAATTTTCCGATATACCAGAAATCATGTTTGTTGAAAAGCTAGAAAGCTGAAATTTGGTATGTAGGTCCGCGTCGACCACCCAAGATCACGAGCTATGGCGGATATATCTCCGCCCATTAGGGGCAAATCGGATAAAACTGTATCTCCTAAAGTTATAAACCTAGAATGCTGAAATTGCATGTAAGCTGATGTTTTAATTCTATAAAGATGGGTGAAAAAATTATATATCTACGCCTACTAGGGGCGTAGCAAATCGGACCTGAAGATATAGTGATTTTTCGAATTCGGCTATATTTTGGACACTACTGATGCTAGAGACCTGAAATTTGGTATATATACGCGGGTTGACCACCCAGGTCCAACGAGCTATGGTAGATATATGTCCGCCCATAGGGGGCGTGGCAAACCGTAAAAGTTTATATCTCCTACAGTTTAAGAGCTAGAAGCTTCAAATTTGGATAGTTTAGTTACTGGTAGCCTCTTCTATCGATGCCCCAAAAATAATTTTTAAGCCTCTTTAGGGGCGAGGAATATCGAAAAATACCCTGTAATTCTCAAATTTTGTGAGCGTAAGAATTCAAATTTTGCATTTAGGTTACCGGTTACTCGTTCAAGGAACTGTCTAAAAATGAGGAGTCTATGGCCGCTAGGGGCGTGGCAATCCGCATTTATAGTGTCCATATTGCGGCATTTATATGCGTCAGCCATCTATTTATGCATTTGTACATATTAATAAGCTTAATAGATATTCATAAAACGGAAAGAAACACTTTTATGAAATTTAACAAATATAAAATAAGCTAAAATAACAAAAAAATTGCAATTTACAAAAAAGAGTTTTCCACGGGATTTGAGCTCGCACCCAAGCCGAATAGCACGTTTGTCAAAATAACTAAAATGAAGATCGCCGGCGCTTCTGCCTACAGCACCACCGCGTCGTTTAGAATCGCAGTAGTTAAAACGAAATCCACTTATTGTTATGACGCCATATAGCAAAGAAAAGCCAGTGTAGCGGCTGGAAATTCGAAAACAATGCAATGACAAATCAATCGCAACGAGATTCATACATACACACATACAAATGAGCGCGTGTATAAGGCTGGAATGCTTGATGCTATGCGTGAAGACTTATATATACATACTTACATATATACATATGTATGTATATGCGTATATGTATTTGAGGGCTATTTAAGAAAAAACAAGTTTAAACATAGAATTATTCGACTAAGAAAAAACAGAATATTTAGTGCCATTCATTCAAGCTCGCTCCTTTCCAATAAAATATCTATTTTATACAAAAAGAAATATGTATGAAAAAAAAAAACAATAACATCGAAGAGGTGTCGAACCTCCCCTACTCTAACATAACTGGCGTTGTCTTTAGCACACGCGCTACTGTTTTGGTCTAGCTGATCCAGTTGCTAAAATAGAATAGCTTAATAAGAGAGCGTCATCAGACAAAACTACTGTAACGGCTAGAAAGTCCAGAAATCAATCAAATTCTAGGAATGTGAGAAAAGGCGCGTTTCTGTCTGTACGCATAGAATAGATGATAAGTGTGTGCACATGTATAGGAAAATCGTGCTGATCTGCTGCTAGCTTGAAGCCGGTATCCAATATATGGATATAAATATATAATAAAAATCAAAATTGTATAATTTATATATGTATGTAATTTGAATGCAATGATGCACTGATCATAGCAATAGCTATCGATGGTTTTCCAATTTTAATGGGGTCATGCCCTGTTTTTTGTTGCGCACTAGATTTGAAAATTGCACTATATACTCTGGTTGACAGCGTTTGGGCTGTGAATGAGTCTTCTGCAATCGGTATCGCCCGACTGCAACGTTCTGACTTGTTTTAAATATTTTTTTAATATGCAATCGGGCTTATACCAAACAATAAGCACAAGATCAATCCATGTATTTACATATTAATAACTAAGTCTACTCTCTACTTGGCAAATCTAGTACGTGGAATCTTTTTAAGCGCCGTACGCTGCTATATGTGTTGTTGAGGATTCCAAAAGTTTATTTAACCGTTTCGCTAACTGGAATGGTGGATCCATTGAGTGAGACTGTAGGAGAATTTCCGCTTGTTCAGCCAAGCTTCAATCAGACCAAGATCCTCAAAATAAGATTGGATAGACCTATAGGGTCAGGACTCCAGCGTTTGCAGTGTATATTCTGGATGATTCGTCCTGCTCTTGTACGTAAAGACTCCTGTTTTCCAAAAAGGACTTGATCATCAGGAAGTATGGCAGGCAACCATTTCATAATTTTATACAGTAGGCCATGCATGCCGCACTTTGTCAAAGGTCTGTTTCACATCTACAAATACTCCAGTGCAATATTTTTTAGATTCAAACGCATTAATAATTATTGTGTGATGCGATAACATTGCTCTATCGTGCCGTGTCCTCTTCTAAACCCAAACTGGTGTTCGGGTATGATTTTTAGTTTGTCCAGCACAGGTGACATTCTTCTTTAAAGTATTCCATCGAATACTTTAGAGAACGTCACCAGTAAACTAATGGGACGGTACGATAATGTGCAGTCTTCCGGCTGTTGGGCTTAGCAATCATTATTACTTCCGCGCATCTATGCTATGCTCAGCAGTGGAATGCATTTTCTCTGAAGATATCTAATTGTAGTCACACAAATTTTATCGAATCTTGGCGACTTTTTCTTAAATAGGCTTTTTATATTTTCTTCTAATTTGGACATTTGGCAAGATGATTCTAAATATGATCTACCATTTCTACAGTTTGAGCATGACCATCATTGGGCTTAAAAACCGAGCTTAAGTGTTCTGCAAATGCCCCTGCTGTCGACAACTGTGGTAATTTTTCTGGTCGGTCTCTTCAGAGACTATAATCAAGGACTCGTATTTGGATCAAGATTATTTAGATATTCTGATGTCGCTTCATTTTTTATTTCCCATAGTTTCCTGTTTAGGTCTCTGGCAGCCTTGTTGAATCTTCTTCTATTTGCAGCTATTTGTGCTCTCAGTTCTAGTGGTAGAAAAGTTTGCCGATGTACATTTTCATTTGGTGGTGGTGTAAACATGCATTCTGCCACGTGAATTGAGTTCGTGAGTTTTTCAATCACAGATTCAATTTCATCCTAGTTCGTTCGACTAGTTCGTTCGTCAAGCCAGTTCTTAAATGCATTTGTGTTTGATTTTGCATTAATGATCCTACAGTGACGAGCAAAACTGTAACACGAATTCAGTGTAGCAACTTCAACGGTCTGTATTTTCGCTTCTACTCGATGGATGTTTGAGATCTTAATTTTGTTTTATTAGTACGATATTTGGCTATATTACCTGAAAATTTGGAATCATTCGGTTGGCTAGAATAATTATAAGAAATACAAATGTAAAGAAAGTCAAATGTTACAGTTTTGCACCCGGGTCATTTTTCAACAAATGTATTTATTAATAATTTTTTCAAATTAATGCATAGCTCTTTTGACTTTTTTTGGTCATTAATGTCATTTGCCATCATTTTTGTGTACCGTCGCACCATTTCAGCAAGAATCGCGCACCAAATGTCATTGTTCCTCTCCCATAGCTCTATCATTCCACTTGGAGCCACCCATAATTCGCAGGTTGCAATTTCAAATGACTCCATATATTTTCAATGATATTCATGTCTGAAGAATATTCAGGACAATGTAATGCAATGTAATTACAAGAAGCGTAAGTGTGAATGTATACACACATACGGACGCGTACACATGAACATGCAAAATAAAGTAAAATGCGTTGCTCACGGGCAATGAAAAAAAAAGAAGGAAGTGAAAAAGATGCCGATTAATTATTAAATTATTATGAAATAAGAAGTATCTGACAAAGGTCAGGGGAAAGAAAAATCCGACTAAATATTAGACAAATGTTTAAAAAGATAACTATCTGACAAAGGTCAGGGGCAAAACGCCGATTAGTATTAAACAAAT